CTATAGATTTCAGTTGTCGCCACCGGCTGCTAAGTTACCTGTGCCTGTGTTTTCAGAAAGGATTGTGGGGAGGGGGGGTTATCTTGTTGACCACTCATTTTTGTCCGAATTGGAGACTGTGAAAACGCATAGCAGTGAATTTTACCGGAGATTTTTCTCCTGAGGTAAAGACGGCAGGATCTTGAAACTAGCCTTTCGCCTCAGTTCTGTGTCGAAGTTAGTAATATTCAGATCTCTATCTGTGCCTTTATGCTGAAGATCTAAGCACAGAAATATTTATACTAGCTTCGATTCTCGTTTGAGGACCAGCTGTTCTGGTCGATGTCCCCCGTGATTTGTTCACGGCAAACGCTGGGAGAGTTACCATAGGCAATTTTTACTTCTGATATTTCCTTCTGTGTCAATTTTCTTTCCTTTTCTGATGCCCCCATAACTCGTTCGACCTAGATGACTTAACTTTCAAATATACCACGGCCACTTCTTCAGAAGTAGTCCATCGCATTCCAGCTGGTACTTGGCCATTAAATAATCTTCCAAAAACGCAGGAATACGTCCTGGCAACTGGGAAATTTCCAATACGCTCTGTGGTTTCAGTTTCCACCCCCTCAGCGCGATCCCTAAGCGGATCCTGTCTTTACACTCTCTCGTCTTATCTCTGTAGCCTCTCCGCTCTATTAACGCGAAGCGACGCCAATCCTTCTTAGAGCCATTACGCTCGGAATTTGCAAATCCTTTCAATAATGGGGGAAGAAGTCGTACATGTTCGATCTAGCTCAATTGTGAAGTACGTCAGAGCTTCTCAGCGTGTTGACCGCGAATGTGATAGCAGATGGTTGAAGTTTGGGAGCATTGCTTAGCGTTTAACTTTTGTCGCCTTATTTTAATTCCTGTGCCTATAAATCTTTAATTTCGAGTGTTGCTTTTATGAAACTTACACTTGATTTTATTCTTTTGAGGAAATAAGAAAGAATGAGAATAAAATTCATTCAGAATATTAGTCGGAAAACTTTCTGAAAAGAGACAAGTTCGAAGATGTCTCAATGATCTCAGTATAATATTAAAATAAAAATTTCGATTCATCGCCCTGATGACGGAGGCAGTATGACCTCTGAAACGGTGGATATCTACCAGACTACACTGTGCAATAACCCAGAAGACAGCAATCTTCAGACTCACCGCTGTGAAAACCCCAAATCCTACACAGACGCCACACGGCCACACTAAAGCTGAAACCCTGTTTTAAAAACGAAAACTGATATACATCATGGGAATATCTGATTACTAGGTGGCGGACAACTTCGTAGCCGATTCATGCAGACATTGATAAAAGTCGCGTGATATCGTTACATATAAGTGTATCACTGGTACCGTAAATCAGAAGGCATCTGCCACATTCCTCAGTCCTACGTGCTATTACAGGCGTGAACACATAAGCATACTGTGTAAGAGAATGCTTTTGTAACATGCACCAAAGTTCTTACAAAACGAGTGTATAGCAACACCAGTTATAACTAGTTTCATAATCAGCACAGATCAGTATTATTTCACTAGAGTAAGAGCCGCTTCGCCAATTCCAACAAAGTGTAGGCATTACAATACAGAACCAACCAGCCAATTAATTAGCTAAATATGTAAACGTGTCTAAAGCCAATTCTCATAGAGGCATAGGACTAGAAACGCTGTCTCCGTACGCGGGCAAGATTCAAGAAACGTCAAGATGTGTTGAAGCTGAAAAGCAACACGAAATGTTCGCCTTCTTAAAAAATTACTATGCTTACTTCGCAAAACCTTTCATTCAGCAAACATATTAAATAAAATCCCTGAGTCTGTCCGTCCCAAGTCCAATAGTTTATAACGAAAACCAACTCTTTTGGATAACACATATGTGTATTTAAAATCGAATAGACCTATACAGAGTGAGTCAGAAGTATGTTTACAAACTTCGTGCGCGTGTTCCAGGATGAAAAATAAGAAAAAATGTTCCTATGAACATGGGATCGCAAATGTTTCATTTTCGAAATTCCTGCCCAAACGTTAATTGAAAATCTTTGCTGGAAGCTGGGTTCTCTTTGACATAAAGTAATTCACTGAAACTTATTTTTGGCTATTATTTCGAAAATGGAACATTTGCGACTCCATGTTCATAGGAACATCTTTTCTTATTTTTGATCCCGGAACACGCACACGAAGTTTGTAAACATACTTCTGACTCACTCTGTATAGGTCTATTCGATTTTAAATACACATATGTGTTATCCAAAAGAGTTGGTTTTCGTTATAAACTATTGGACTTGGGACGGACAGACTCAGGGATTTTATTTAATATGTTTGCTGAATGAAAGGTTTTGCGAAGTAAGCATAGTAATTTTTTAAGAAGGCGAACATTTCGTGTTGCTTTTCAGCTTCAACACATCTTGACGTTTCTTGAATCTTGCCCGCGTACGGAGACAGCGTTTCTAGTCCTATGCCTCTATGAGAATTGGCTTTAGACACGTTTACATATTTAGCTAATTAATTGGCTGGTTGGTTCTGTATTGTAATGCCTACACTTTGTTGGAATTGGCGAAGCGGCTCTTACTCTAGTGAAATAATACTGATCTGTGCTGATTATGAAACTAGTTATAACTGGTGTTGCTATACACTCGTTTTGTAAGAACTTTGGTGCATGTTACAAAAGCATTCTCTTACACAGTATGCTTATGTGTTCACGCCTGTAATAGCACGTAGGACTGAGGAATGTGGCAGATGCCTTCTGATTTACGGTACCAGTGATACACTTATATGTAACGATATCACGCGACTTTTATCAATGTCTGCATGAATCGGCTACGAAGTTGTCCGCCACCTAGTAATCAGATATTCCCATGATGTATATCAGTTTTCGTTTTTAAAACAGGGTTTCAGCTTTAGTGTGGCCGTGTGGCGTCTGTGTAGGATTTGGGGTTTTCACAGCGGTGAGTCTGAAGATTGCTGTCTTCTGGGTTATTGCACAGTGTAGTCTGGTAGATATCCACCGTTTCAGAGGTCATACTGCCTCCGTCATCAGGGCGATGAATCGAAACGTTGGTGGACATCTACCATTTTACACGGCGCAATAACCCAGAAGACAGCAATATTTTTATGTGATGTCTGTTTCGTCCAAAATTCTTCTCAGGTTTGTTCGTGATCGGAGCGAACCTGTTTCGGCTTCAGAATTTGTTCTGCCATCTCTTCCTTGTACCAATTCAGTTTCTTTGTCGGTATCCCCATGTCAATATTTGTAGATGATGTTGCTCCGTTCATTGTATCCGTGAAAGTCAGTGAGGCTGTATAGTTGAGTATTGTCGCTTAAGTTATAAATCTCCAAGTATAACACGATACACAACACTTCGGTAATTGACATATCATCAGATGAGGCAAACGCAGCGATTTTCTGGTGGATGGGCGGAAGACTTAAAACAACGAGATGGAAATAATGGGTACATCTTGCCACTCGATGCTTTATGTTTTGAACTGCTGACAGCATCGTTAAATGGACGAGAATAAGTAAAAGATTGGTTTTAATTATGTTGAGGTAAATTGATCATTTTACTGCTGAAATTTTACGGTTCTTAAAAAATTCTGTAGCTGTCACTCATGCTGCATGAACTAGTGAAGCATTATACCCGCGAAAAATATTGCCGGTGGCCATAGTTCAGAAATGGGCGACAGACGACAGAGCGTTCTTGGTTTGCCATGGATTCGACCCATCGTCATCGTTTTCGCCTTCACTGTCGCGTGGTCCGATTTCAATCAGCGAGTTGTGTCGTAACTAATCGTATCGCAAGCAAAGGCCTGTGTTAGAACGCCCTAAGCTGAGAACAAGGCTGGGAAGATGCTGCGAATTGTAATTCACTTAGAGTTGATAAAATTCTTATGCAATTTTATTCGTTTTTGTGTTCAGTGTCTTTCTTGTCCCTAATTTTGTGAACCTTCGCTGTCGGTTTTATAGTGAAAGAACAATGTGTTTACAGCTTAGCCATGGTTTAATCCGTAAAGGGTCATTTTGCAGTGTAACAACGAAAAAATTATAGACTAGATGTCGGCGGGAATAGCTCTATATCTATAGGGTTGTCATAATAAATTAGAAATTTCATTATTTTAGTAACAAAACCCGAACCGAAGAACAGGCTGTTGCGCGTGTAGTTTATACACTTACGTTAATGAGGACCCAAATAAGTTTATCCTCATAAAAGGCAACTGTG